CTGAGTCTTTACCCATCTTCAAGAAACGACTAAAAACACATCTGTTCCACCTTTATTTGACCCTCTAACTCTAACACTTTCTATTCTATTATAATTCTACTTTATCTATATTTATCTTTTTCATTTTTTTTTCATTTTCACATAAAACAAACACTAGCTTTCTATTTTTTCTATTCTATCTACTTGTTTTTCTTTGTTTGTGTGTGTGTGTGTGTGTGTGTATGTGTATATATGTGTGTGTGTGTGTGTATAATATATATGTATGTGCATATATACTGTATGTATCTATATATACACCTTGCTACGTGTACTGCGTTAGGCTAACCGAGACTTGTCATTTGCACTTCTTTATTATATATTGTTGCTCTTTTGTTAGTTTTGACTGCTTTTATTGTCCTCATTTGTAAGTCGCTTTGGATAAAAGCGTCTGCTAAAGGACTAAATGTAAATGTAAATAAATAAAGGTGACTTGACAAAGTATCAAGCAAACACTCACTCGCTGTTCCTTGGAGCAGTTGGTTTATGTAAAGATTATAACCAAGTGTGAACATACAAATTTTCGTTCAGTCCTGAAAGGGTAGTTCATACCTTTTTATTTAGAGTAATAAAACCATTTCAGATTTTTATATGCAGATGCATTGTCCTACAATATTATCTCAATCATAGTAGAAGTTCTCCGATATTGTGCAGCCCTAGCAGCAGGACATGCGAGTAGCCAAAGCAAGTGGAAACCCTACTGAAGTACCCGGTGTCAAATGTGCATTCAGCAGTGGCACTGTCACGGTGCGTGTGGAGAGATGAGGCGAGAACTCAAGTTGCAGGAAGAAAGGGTTATTTAATAATAAAATGAAACAAAACAACAAAAACTACCCCAAGGGGGAAAACAGGCAGGCAGGCCAGGGACAACAATACAGACAGACATAGGCCACAAGCATACTTGACGATAAACACAACACAAGCCATGTGCTCACAAAAAACCACAGGAGTGCTCTCTGGTGGCCATCTTGGGCACTCCAGCTGCAGACTGTGACACACTGCTACTTGATTAACAAGTTCCACAAAAAAAGAAGTGAATTTACAATTAGAATCAGAACCAGAAGAATTAAATTCCTCACAATTGTCATCCTTACTAATATCCAGTTCTCGCCATATATGATAATAGTTTGTCTCCCTCTCTCTCTCTCTCGCTTGCTTACTAATTTTAAAACTAATCTCTGATTCTTGCCAGATTAAATCATTAATAAAATAGAGAGAGCCTCCTGCTGTTTCCTACCAAGTTGGCATGCAATTCTCTAGCCAGTTTCATTATCACACTCGTAAATTACAAAAGCCCTTTCACCCTGAATAATCACAGCAGCGCGTTGACGTCAATTTACTGCTGTTGTCATGGTTGCAGTTCTGGACTCCTGTGCAATATGTTTTGCAACAGCATATTGTCCCAACTTGTAACATGTGATAACTTGGCACATAATGTCTTTGAGCTTAAATGAAAGTCTTTGCGCTCTGCAGGTACTACTTGTGTTTGCAGCTGCGGAAGGACATCAAGAATGGCCGCCTGCCCTGCTCTTTCGTGACCCTGGCCCTGCTGGGATCTTACGCCCTGCAGTCTGAGCTGGGCGAGTACGACCTCGAGGTTCACGGCACCGACTATGCCAAGGAGCTCCAGCTTATCCCAGGACAGACCAAGGAGCTGGAGGAGAAAGTCATGGAGCTTCACCGCACATACAGGTGATCATGACTGCTTCTTACTGGTGCGCTGATGATTTACGCACATATATTCTTATCATAAATAGATGCTTGGGAAATATTTGTTAACGCAGTTGAAATAAATGCACATGTACAAGAGGTTAGCATTAAAATATTTCGTATTTGCACTTTCCTTTTCTGTAGCAAGGTATGTTGTTATGACTAGTTTTTGTTTGTTTGTTTTTCTACAGATCTACGAGTCCGGCTCAGGCTGATATGATGTTCCTGGAGAATGCTAAAAAACTGGCCATGTATGGGGTTGATCTCCACCAGGCAAAGGTACAGTAGATTAACTGGAGATACTTACAATAAATACAAAATATAAATACAATAAATAATAATAAAAACAAACAAACAAATAAATAAAAATGGTTAACCTTCAGAAAATTGCCACACTAGCTATTAAATTAGTTGTTTTATTGTCTTTTTTTATGATGTTTGCAATACAGTATAAAATCAATGATATAATAATATTTTCTAAAACATTTGGAATAAATAAATAAATAAAATAAATAAATGAAATGCTAAAATGGCATAAAACCTATATTATTTAAATGCTTTATACAAAGTTGGTTTTGTATTTATTGGTAATTTATAATTTTTTTTACAGTAACTTTGGTTGTTGATTGGATAATAATAATAATAAATACATTTGCATTACATAAATGCATAAAGTCTCCATTTACTGAGGTGAGCTGTGATTTAAAATACATTCAATTACATTTCCCAGTTAGACAATGTGACTTTCCTCTGCACTGATTAAACTACTGTGTTCTTTATGTGAAATCATCAATCTGAGCTGTCATAAAAACATTGGTTCGACTGAAATGTCCTTCATCTCACAGGAGTGCTTGTGATAAAAGCATTGCATGGCCTGTCACTGCTCAGATTTGGTAGCTGAAACCAGGTCAATCTGTTTGCATCAAGCCATGGATTTAAATAAATTATGGACTCCTTTTTTAAAGGAGAAGCAAGGCCGCCCCCTAGTGGTGGAGATTTGTTATTGCAAAATCTTTGTTTATACACTGAGATTCAATTACGTTCAAGTAAGACTCAAGTCATCAAAGTCAAAAGATTATATATTTTTTCCTGTTCTTTATTTTCTCTTTTTGTCAGGATCTGGATGGAGTGGATATAATGCTGGGTGTTTGCTCCAGTGGCCTGATGGTGTATAAGGACAAGCTGAGGATTAATCGATTCCCCTGGCCAAAGGTTCTCAAAGTCTCCTACAAACGCAGCAGTTTCTTCATCAAGATACGGCCATCTGACGTAAGTTTGATATACATTTTGTTTTAATGTTGCAAGATGTGAAATATATATATATATATATATATATATATATATATATATATATATATATATATATACACTGTATAATACTTAAATATATGTTTTAATAATTTGTTTTCATTTTATAATTTTATTTTCTAATTATAATTCATTGTTAATATAATTATTTTACATTATTTAAAATAAATGTTTAACAATTCTTTTATTTTTATTTTTATTAGTATTCCAAAATAATTTGTAGATTTTTTTAAAAATCTGTATAGCTAATTTCTGTTCTTTTAAATAAAATTAAATATGAAAATGTAATCAAACTTCATATTAAAAAACAATGACAGCTTCTTAATTTTTAAAAATAATTTCATTGTTTCATAACTTTATCCAGATACTGATGTTTGAAACATACGTACATTGATAAAACCTTTTAAATTGTGCATTTTATAATGTATTGATTTGTCTTTTTTCACTTAGTGCAATTAACTGGAAATTAAAATCAAAGATTAAACACGGCATCTTTATGTGCAAGAAGGTGCACATATATACTCACATATACTAAATATCTTTTTTTATTAGATTCAGAATGGTATTTCATCATTTTTTATTTTATTCAATTTTTTTAGCTGGAACATTATGAAAGTGCCATTGGCTTTAAACTGCCCAACTACAAGGCCGCCAAGAAACTGTGGAAAGTGTGTGTGGAGCATCACACATTCTTCAGGTATGAATATCAAACAACACATCACAGCATGTATTCCCGTCTCAATGGCTGTGTGTTTTTGTGAATTCATAAGTCCAGTACATTATGAAGAGACGTGAACTCTGTGGTCTCAGGTTGACGTCCACAGAAGCGGCCACCACTCCCAGGAAGTTCCTGGCTCTGGGATCGAAGTTCCGCTACAGCGGCCGAACTCAAGCCCAGACCCGCCAGGCCAGCTCCATGATCGACAGACCCGCTCCGCATTTCCAGCGCTCCGCCAGTAAGAGGGCGTCTCGCAGCTTAGATGGAGGTGCGTTTATTCTCCTTTATTTCGATAGTCCACTTTAGACATTCTACTAACTGTAAGTAACTTTGCAACTACATGTCAACTAGCAGTCATTAGACTATTAGTAGGTTAGGGTTAGTAGAAGTTGCAGGTACTTATAGTCAGCAGAATGTTTAAAGTGGACTATCAAAATGAAGTCTTTTCTTTTTGCTATTTACGTTAGTCCGTTCTGATTGTGTATGGATACAGCTGGTTAGGTTGAAAATAGAGGCAGATGATTGGCCCTCTTTGTTGGATTCTGGCCAATCACAGCCAGTCACCTCGGGGAGTCCGATCACAAGTCTGACTCTCGCTTTTGCCCTGTTTGGGATCCTATTTTCTCTTTCAATCTCCGTTTCTCCAGTTCTCTAATTCACTTCCCATGGGGAGGTTCAGACTCTTTATGTAAGCTGTGCTGCAAGCATCTGTTTTTATTTTAGCTGTGAGCAGAAGTCATTTGTCTCTGCTGGCTTTGGGCTGAAGGACAGATAGAGACTCAGTATTCAGGCTGCTCTACTCACTAACAACCTGATGCTGGACAGCTTTCTCAGTCCTCAAGCGTAGGTTTTAACCCCTGCTGGCCATTTTGTGCCTGAAATTTTAGCTAAGTCATGTTGACAGGAGTGTATTTCTGAAATTAGACTCAAACTGTGTCTCATGTCCATTTCACACTCATGCTGCTATATAGGATGCCTCCATTTAGCTGAATTGCAAAACAGCATTTCATACTTGATGGGGAAAAAAGAAAATCTCAGACCCTTGTGAAAAAAATACACGTTTAGCATACTTTTCCCGTTTAGCACTTGACAGAAATAACAGAAATAATGTATTTTAAAAGAATAAACTTAAATGTGAACTGAATGTATTATGTAATGTTTTTGCACACTGTTAACTGCAATTAAATACAAATGTATTATAGTTTTTTTTTTAATTAAATGCAATTAGCTGAACTTAAGTAGGTACATATGTACTTTCAAATGCACTTCTATTGTAAATATGTGAACTGCTGAATGTACTGACAAGCATTTATGATAAACGAAATATACTTTTCTTGACATTTCTATACATGTAATATTGAATAACACACTACAGTTAAAAATAGTTATTTTAATTAGTTAAATCAGTTATAATCAAGTACTTTACATGTGATTTTAGTCAACACAATGTACTTTAGAATACAGCAATAGATTAAAACGCAATGATTTAAAATGTACTTTAATCAAAACTTAATTTTGACTGACATTATTATAAAAAGTCAACTTTTTAAGTGTGTTAAGAAACATGTCTCTCTGTTAAGTGCAGTTAAGTGGCCTTTTATTTTAATAATATTAGATTACATGCAAATAATTTAATATATATATATATATAATTTAAGCATTGAAGTACACTATAACACGCATTCAGTACAATTAAACAATTTTTTTTTTACAAGGCTAGTCAAGAAGCATTGCATTTTAAATGATAGCTTTTATAATATTTAGAAATATTTGTTTCATCGGTAACACTTTTGAATAGGGAACACATATTCACTGTTAACTAAGTGTTTCCTGAACAAACTCCTAATTCGCTGCTTATTAAGTTAACAAGCTAGTTGTTAAGTTTAGGTATGGGGTGGTTTGAGGGATCTAGAATATGGTCATGCAGAACAAGGCATACATATGTGCTTTATAAGTACTAATAAACAGCCAGTATGCTAGTAATATGTATGCTAATTAGCAACTAGTTAATAGTGAGAATTGATGCTTAAAATAAAGTGTTACCCCACTGGAATCAGCTGTTCAGAGTTGGTACCTATGGAGAGCGTCTCTTGAGGTTGCATTTCGATTAAGGCAGCAGCCTGTGTGGACAGTGACAGCTCACTAGAGTTTGGAACGGAGCCAGAGTGTCTCTGAGGTAAAGTGGAGGTGATTTCTTGTGGTATAAATAAACTGTGCTTGCTTTAGGCAGTGCAGGTGAACTCACTGTGGGAGAGAAATCACAGCAGGGGTGCGATCCAGAAAAACAACCCTGGTTAACCCTCTGATAATTTAACCATTCAGCCCTCAGGTAGAACACGGACACAGATTGAATTACTTTCTGCAGACTGTAGGTTATTTACATAAAAACTCCATGAATCCTACATAGTCAGTTGATGCAATCAGCAAGCGGCCCTCTCTAAAATACTTGTAGAAGGAAAAGCAAGACAGATTGCTGTTTTGATTAGCAGTTTGATTGACAAGTTGCTTCCTGAGACTTAAGTTTGGTATTGTTCATTTTTGTGAAACACAACTCCCAGAATGCATCTGTGACGACATTAAAGTCCATGCAGAGTGAGGTTCAGAGTACCTAAGCAGTTGTTCTTATGTTTGTTGGAGTTGTATTTGATTGGCAGGTCAGTATTAGCCCAGAGCATCTCCCACAGTCTGACAGGAGCTTGATCAGTTCAAAAGGCATGAAGGTCCTGGAGCCGAAACTAAAAAATGTATATCATGGAACGAAACCGTTCAGGTTGATTGGTTTGTGCTCCTGGGCTGCACTCTTTCTGAAACCCATCTGACCAGAGGTAGAGATTTATCCCCTCAGCTTGATCTTCTTTCCTCCGAAACATTCAGCTCTTACAAAAAACATCAGCATTTGTCACTGTGTTTACATGATCCTGGAGATATTTTTACATTTTGAGTTGACTCAATAGACTTTTTTTAACTTGCCCTTGTGTGCTTAATTGTATTGAATGTGTACTTGTAGTGTACTTCAAATCTCAAAAGTAAATTAAAAAAAATGTACGCGCAGATTAATATAATATTAAGGAAATAAAAGGCCACTTAAGTGAATTTAAGAGACACTTGTTTCTTAACACGCTTAAGTACATTTTTAAACACACTTGTTTCTTAACACGCTTAAGTACATTTTTAAACACACTTGTTTCTTAACACGCTTAAGTACATTTTTAAACACACTTGTTTCTTAACACGCTTAAGTACATTTTTAAACACACTTGTTTCTTAACACGCTTAAGTACATTTTTAAAAAGTGAACTTTGTAATAATATAAAAATGAAAATACTTTTAAAATCTATTTTAATAATCTTTTGTTCTGATTTAAAGTATACTTATTTTAATATGTGAACTAATTTTAATTGTAGTGTGTTTTTCAATATAACATTTATGTTAATATATAATATATTTTCTGTACATGCATACAAATTTCAATAGAAATTACCAATATTTCAGTTTATCAAATATCCTTGTACATCCAGCAGTACAATTTAACCATATTTCAATACAATAGAATAATTATATTAAGTTTCATATAAAGATGTACTTAAGTCTTACTTAAGTGAATCAAAAAGCACTGTGAAGTTCTTTCAGCTAATTGCATGCAGTATTAATTAATATATAATACATTTTCATTTATATTTAGTTAACATGCAATTAAATGTCTGAACAGTATAGTTCTCACATAAGTATGTTCTTTTTCACAAGGGTAGTTGCTTTTTGCAAACGATTTAGGATTGCTTTATCCTATAATAATCACAATAAGGCCAAGAATGTGTATTACTATGTTTGATGGCCTTAAAATTGAACCATGTTTCTCATCAGAGTTGCACAGCAAACACCTGAACTGGTTTTACAGCAGGCAAATTTATAGTCCATGACTTAAGTGTAAAATTTCTTTCTTTCTCCTCTGTCCCATACGTCTCTCTCTGACAGCCATGGTCTCGACCCCAGATAAGAACGCCCGTCCCGTCAGCGCTCCCATCATGTCTCCCATCTCCCCAGGCGACATGGCTCCTTCCCCAGTAGCATCTGCCGCCCGCACTGACCGTAAAGAGACATCCACGCCCACGGGCCGTCCACGCTCCACTGAGAGGAAGAGTGAGGTGAAGGCAGAGGCCCATGTGACAGATGGCTCCAAAACACACAGCACCAAAGCAGAGGGCACACCTGAAATCAAGGTATGACACACACAAATGTGCTAAATAACACTCAAATATTTATACTTTAGCTTTTTCAATGTGAAATTAATGGAAATATATTTTAAATAACAATGTATACTATTTATTTTTTGTTTAAACAAAATTACATTTAGTTTTAGATCATTTTAGAGTCTACATTTCCCCCCTATTCTATGTGTTAGTACAGCTAAAAGCACTGGAAACTTAAACACAATTTAAGCAAATGTTTGCAGCACAGACTTCTACCTGACTTTTGAATTGTTGGACTACGTGTTCATACAGCAATACGGCTTATTCTCACCAAGCTCGACATAAAAACCAGCGCAAATTAGCAACAAAATGCATCTTCGCTTGTGACCACAAATGCAAGACAGCCATGATATTTAGGTCTGTGTGAGACAGCAGGAGTATGTGTACTCTCTCTGTGCTACTGCAGACGGTAGCCCGGCGAGAACGGCGACACCGTGATGCCCCGGTGGTGACGGCCACCAATGGGGAGAGAAAGAGCCAGGTTTGTGCTCATGATTTCAGCCAATCACATAAGAGCATGTACAACAGTGATTTACCCTAGTGGCCACCTTCATTTTGTTATTAAATGCAAAAACATTTTAGACAGTTGGCCAATCACTAAGCTTCACCTCTTTTGATTACTTTTTCTGGCTCAGACAAGTTTTACAAAATGTCCCACAACTACAGTCTTCTATATATGTAAAAGAAGTATGTTAAGTTATTAACATTAATATACCTTGTTACACATGCACTGTTTAAAAGTTTGCAATAATTGAGATTGTTCAGTGTCTTAAGAAGTCTCTTCATGCTCATCAAGGCTGCATTTATTTGATCAAAAATACAGCAAAGACAGTAAAATTGAAAATATATTTTCAAATGTAATTTATTCTTCCAGTCTTCAGTGTCACATGATCCTTCAGAAATCATCCCAATATGCTGATTTGATGCTCAAGAAACATTTATGATTATTATTGATGTTGATCAATGTTATCAATATTGCTTCTTAATATTTTTTGATACACTACCACTTAAAAGTTTAGGGTAAGCATGGTTAAAAAAAAAGAAAAAAAAAGAATACTTTTTATTTGTCAAAACACAACAGTAAAGACAAAAAAAAAATCAAAAAAAAAAAAAAAAATGAATACTTTTTATTTGTCAAGACACAACAGTAAAGACAAAAAAAAATCAACAAAAACATTTTTGGAAACAATTCCAACATTGATAAAATAAGAAATTGTATTAATAATTGACCAGCAAATGAGCGTTTCTGAAAGGTCATGTGACACTGAAGAAGACTGGAGTAATGGCTGCTGAAAATTCAGCTTTGCATCACAGGAATAAATTTAATTTTTAAATATACTGAAAACAGTGATTTTAGATTGTAATAATATTTCACTGTATTACTGTTTTTACTGTATTTTTGATCATATACATGTAGCCTTGGAGAGCATGAGAGACTTGTACCTTAAATGCAATGTGAGTGGCTTTGGATAAAAGTGTCAGCCAAATGCACAAATGTAAAATGTAGTGTTGGATTGGTCAGAAATGTTAAGGTGGGGCTTTAGTTTAGTTTAGCCGTAATATGACTTTCAATAATAGATCATCAGCAGATATTTGTGTTAAACTATATATTAGAGCATTCTGACAATATTACATACTATAAGACATACATGTATAGCTGTAAAGAAATTACTACCATTGTGAATCAAGCCTTTTTACTGGTAAGTGAGTAGCAAAGTAGCTTGTTTCATAAACACTTACATGCTCTCTTCCTTCCCCTCTGGGGTCTGAACAGTCACCACGGGCGGACACAGAGATGGTGCGCATGAGGAAGGTCAGAGCTCGTTCTGTATGGGTATCGCAGCATGAGGACGATGCCATTGTACTCATCATCTCCTCACTGCCCATGTTTTACAACAAAAAGATCATTTTATTATTGTTTTCTCTTCTGCTTTGGCTGTATATTGCTTGCACTTGTATGAGTTTGGCTGTACCAGACAGCACTGTAGCTGTCAGATATGAACCTATTCAGGCAGCGACAGTGAGTCAGTACAAACTGAGGTTTACGGAATGAGGAAAGTGTTCATTATGAGTGAAGTTCAAATGAACTTCTGCATTGTTATTGTGGCATTTACTCTAGCATGCAATGTCCCCTGTCATGCTCTGTCTTTTACATAGACAAAATCGTTTTTTAGAAGATAAACTGTGTTCTCCTGCTTCAAACCTGAGTTACTCCAACTTTAAAACCAGCTGAGATAAGTAATAATTGAAAGAAAAACTTTAAATCAGACTTTCAATTTATAGACATTTAGAGAAGTAATTTAAAGCTTGTTCAAAACTTTAGATCTGTCAACTGAAACATGCTGATAATGTATAACAGAACTGATGTTTGCACTTTATATACACTACCAGTTAGAGGTTTGGACATAACTTTTTTCCTGAAAAAACACACATCCTGGATGATCCCAGTAGTATAAATTTATATATTGAAAAGGAGAATGGGCCAAGCACTGAACCCTGCAGTACCCCTATGGTTAGTTGATACCTCATGATCCCCTGAAGAATCGACCTGTAAGGTAGGACTTGGGAGCTTTTCTCTGCTTGTTTGTGATGCCCAAATTGGAGAAGGTAGAAAAGAGACAGTGTCAAAGGCAGCATACATGTTCAACAAAATGAAGACGGATTATGTCTTTTTCACCCACAAAGGCTTCAGTCAAGGATGTATCTGTTGAATGTCCACTTTGTAATCATGTCAATCAAGTCAAATCCTCACTGATTTGCTGTCCAGCAGCTTGTTCTGTGGGAAGAAAGAAGAAAAAATCGTGCTCAAGTGTTTTTCACAGTGAACTGGAGGAGAGACTAGTCTGCAGGTGGTCTGGTATTTAGTGTCGGTTGCACAAGTTGGCTTGAATGTGTTGGGAAGAGTGCCAGTGCGTAGTGATGCATTTATGATGGATGTGAGGGCAGGTTAAAGTGTAGGAGAGATGGCATATTAAAGATTGGAGGGAATTGGATCAATGGGGCTGGAGGTAGGATGGTTGGAGAGGAGAACTTTAGAGACCTCTGCCTCCATAAGAGGAGAATAGAGATTTGCATGTGAGTCGTGGGTGTTTGTTAAGTTTGTTGTGTTGAGAATTGCCTGCTGCTGATTGTTACTGTATGTGTGAAAAATGGGCAAAGTTGTCAGGCATTAGGGAGGATGTGGGAGAGAAGAGGTGAATGCCTCCTCAGTTTGCGAGTGTCTGAAGTATTGTTGATCTTTTTGTGTAGTTGGATGCTTTTGCAATGGTAACACTGGCAGAAAAGAAGATATCAGAGCAATGGGTCTCTTCTCTAATACAGATAGGCTCTCTAAAGATGTGCTCTTGCCTGACTGCACACGCAGTGTGTCATTCTCAAAACCAGTAGAAATACCTTTCAAACAGGCCTAGACTATACATGATTGGCTACTTTTTTACATAGAACCATATGCTAGAGATAAAGCTATAACACACAATACATTGCATATGTCTATGACCACCATCACTTGGTTCAGAAATTTAGATAAGCACAACAAAAGATCATTACCAAAATGTAAGATGCACTTTAAAGCAACCCTCTACGGACACCTTGGCAATTGAATCGCCATTGGCTAGTCAATTTTTTTTTGTTTACTCGCCAGACTGAAATACTATATATATATATATATATATATATATATATATATATATATATATATATATATATATAAATATATGTCATTTTACAC